TCTAAAGTTCTGTAGCCCAGGAACTCCAAGGAATACTTTGTGAATTATTCCGATCCCGCGGAATAACACAAAATTGCCAACCCAAGGCACCCAGAAATCGGACCCACACGAATGAGGGTATGGCTTTAGGGCTGTAGGGTCTGGTTTAAGGTTTAGGGTTTATGGCTTTCGGGTTTTGTGATCTGGTTTAGGGCTGCATTCGGTTCGAAGCAGGCAGCCGGAGACCAAAACCCTGCAAACGCACTCAGAGCCGTGCAGAAGTTTCGGAGATTCAGGGGTTTACTGATAAAGGCTACCCAAAAAGTTGCTGTAAGATCTACTATGGTGGTACATGGTGGTACCATTATAGGGACTCTAGTACTGTAGTAGGGACCTTAAGCCCTAAACCCTAAACCGTTTACTGTTTCGCTAGGCTTTAGGGTACAGGGCTACCGGTTGAGGGACCCTTGAACCCCAAGACCTGAAGGCCCGCAGGCAAACCCAGACCCCGAAACTCGGGGGGTTGTCAAAACTTCTCTGTAGCCCAAAACCTAATTACCTTGATTAAGAAATTTATATATATATATACATATATACACATACAGACAGACAGACAGACAGACAGACAGACAGACAGATAGATAGATAGATAGATAGGTAGATAGATAGTAAAAACAAATATATATATATATATATATATATATATTTATACTATGTATACAGATATATACATAGATGTATTGCATATATGAGTGTGTACATATATATATATATATATGTATACAGAAACCATAAGAAGGAACACTAAAAAGGCTTTCGGCTGCAGGTAGGGTTTAGGGCCGGTGTTTCCCCAAATCCGGTCCTTGCCTCTGGCGTCACTGGCATCCACAGCCCGCAACGCTTTGAAGCCGACAGTGGCAGAGGCAAGTTCACTGCTTCTTTGGATTTTGGGCTCTCCTTTCGAAGGTATAGATGTGTAAACCCTAAACCCTACTGCCAAGTCAGATTTGACCAGCTACCACACGGAAGATGGCAGGCAGCATGTAAATGTGAACGATCACGGTCTCCATCAGTGAATGCTACTTCGCACGTATGCAACAGAAAATACCAGGTTGCATGCCTGCATTTTTGCGAGTACGGTACAGTAACACTCAAAGGATTTCGAGTAGAGAAAAGGAACATAACAAAAAACACGCTCAGCTAAAACACAAGGAGCATAGCACGCCATAGTAGCGAAAGGCTCCAGTATACCAAACGTGGTCTCAGTAGTCAGGCGACACTTGTCCTGGTGGCGACATTCAGGACCGAGGGTAGCCACGCAAGTTCAAGATGTCTCCTGAACAGAATTTTACGTAAAGTCGACCAGCAGTACAGTAGAGATCTCCTGCATCCTAGACCCGGGCCCGTCGAAACCCTCTACCGTGTTAAGCCGCCATAACCTGTTGCTTTGTAGGGTCTGAGAATAAGATCCAGATTTTTGGTCACCCTAAGGACAAAAGGAATAGGTTTAATTAGCTTAACTCAGACACGGCAACTGAAAGATTTGCAAAGTGCCGTAAGGCAAAGGTCGGATAGGCCCTGCTTTTGCCTCCGAGCGCGCAGCAAACTGCCAATTCCTCAAAACCCCTAAAGCCTAAACCCTAAGCCAGAAGAACAGGGCGCTCTTGCGCAAGAACCTCAATCCTAGCTTCGACGCTGTAACGAGCCCAGAAGTTTGTATTTTAAGCCTATGCTGGATGACAGTATGAGGCAGTCAGCCCAGAGGGTCCATATACACTACCATTATGGAATGAGGTCCCAAAAGGCCATCCGTATTATTGATCCCTAGGGGTCCACGTACTCATATAGCATATACATTGGCCTTAACGTAGTTCCTATTTAGGTGCTTTAGGGTCGAAGTATATGCTATATGGGCACATGGACCCTTAGGGTATGGGTTTTTGGGGACCGGAATCCATCACAGTAGTATATATGGACCCTCTTGGAAAGTCCTGGCTCTTCTCTTTGAGCCGGGTGTGCGTTCACAGTGCCACTGCCTCTTTGAGGCAGAGCACGAGCAGACAAGCACAAGGATCTCCCTGGAATATAGCATAGTATAACCCTGCAATAATTCCCTCAGGATCCATGCACCCAAATAGTATATACTTTGGCCTTCACATCGTCGCTATATATCTACTTTGAATATACTACTTGGGCAGAAGGACCCTTAGGGAGTATTTTAGCATGTATCAATGGGTCGTGGGCGTGGAGTGTGTGCGCTCTCGACTTCAGGATTTGAGGCTTCGGGTTCGATCCAGAGGTGCTGATGGCGACTAGCTCTAGTCACTAGCCTGTGGTATAGTATAGTACAACTAGAGTAGAGTAGAATGGAACAGGCCCTCTAGGCTAGAATCAGAAAGGAGGGTTTCTGGGGTGGCTCCGAACTTTCGAAATCCTTGCAGGTGCTCCCTACATGCCCGTCGTCCACTGGGACGGATTTCATGGACGTCTCTGGGCAAGCAGTTTGGTGACACTGTGAAACTCCATCAACCCCCAGGCCAGACCGTAAACCCTAGACCCTAAACCCTAAACCCTATACCCTAAACCCATGAGTAGCAAATTTCTGCTTGGAAGCTGCGATCCCCTCTACGCAATGCCCGAGGACCCCAACCCCAAACACCGCAAATCCCTAAAATCCTACTGTAAGAACTATGGAAACCCTGGACTTCAAAAAGCAGCCTTCCTTAAATTAGTAGAGTTGAGAACCCGGAGCACTAAGCCCCCCCATGAACAGAGCTGGAAGCCTAAATCCTAAGTATTGAAACTTTTGGGGTTGTAGGGTTTAGGGTGTCGTAATTAACTTGAAGGGGTTCAAGGTTTAGGGCTCAGAGCTCATGGGTTTTAGGGTGCGGGGCCAGCTTAGGGCTTCAAGTTCGTTGTGACGGACCTGGGGGTCAGTAGCCGCGCACGACTTTCTTTTGTCTGACCTCTCTCGCCGCCTTCTTGCGAGCCTTGTGGTACCTGGAGACAGGCCGCGCAGCGATCCCACGTCTCGCAAATCATGAGGTTTAGGGTCTAAAGCTCTGTGTCTCGGAAGTCCTGAACAGCCTCAACTCGAGACCAGTAAATTATGCACTAACTCACTGAGGGGGCTGCCTTGCCTAGTGCCCCAGCCAATATACGGACTAGATCATTACCTCTACTATTTTTGTTGGGGGTTCCTTATTATCTCTATAAAGTATAACATACCACAAAACCCTATTCCAATTATTAAGGCTCCTACACCCTAAACACTTATAGTAGCCCTTATAGAACCCTTTAAGGATCCCTTTAAAGAAACCCTATTCTAATTATTAAGGCCCCTACCCTACTTCCAAAAGTTTATAAGTGCCTGCTCTCCTATAGAGCCCCCTACGTACGTCCAGTCGATGGGCTCGTTTGATCCTTTTTCCTAAAGGGTCCATGTACCCCAATAGTAGAACATTGGCCCTAAAGTACCCATATAGGGACTACATTAAGGCCAATTTTCTACTATTTGGGTACATGGACTCTGAGGGTTTTTGTACGTGTAGAAACTACAGAGACAAACCTGCGCAAGGATAAAAGCAATCACAGAAGACAGGGGCCGCATCTTGAGGCATTCCTATCGATTGCTCCGGCACAAGGGCCAGAAGAGGACAAGTCTTTTCGACATGGAGGCTGTGCCGTGAGTTGAAGGTGCTGCTTCATGCTTCCCTAAACCCTAACCCTAAACCCTAAACCGTCACTGAGACTTACAGGGCCGTAACTATCTCCTTCTGAGTCTTCGGTGTCTGCCAGCATGAGGAAGGTGCCAATCCCTAACCCTCCAGGTACCTACTATATAGGGTACTAGAGCCCATAGGGCCCTATATAGTAGGTGCCTGGTGGGTTAGGGAATGCTGACGCTGATGATGATGCTACGCAGGAGGAAGCTGAAGATTCTCGGTGAGGCAGCTGCTGGCGTTGACATTGATGTGTTGGAGATGACAGGGTTTAGGGTTTAGGGTTTAGGGTTCAAGGTTTAGGGTTAGGGTTTAGGGTTTAGGGTATAGGGTTTAGGGTTTAGGGTTTAGGGTTTAGGGTTTAGGATGAAAGCCAATGATGCTTTGAAAAGAGTAGAAGGTGGGTGGTGGTGCTGCAGCTGAGGATGACGACGACGACCACGGTGACGGTGATGATATGGCTGATAATGATGAAGACAATACTTGGAGGATCATGGGACTTCGTAAGTATGGTTATAAGTACCTTAATTGGGGCTATAAGTAGTTATAAGTATAGTTACGCTAATAATAACCTTAGTTACTAAGTCCCATGATCCTTTAAGTAGAGTCGATGCCGAACCCTCAGCTGCATCCTGGAAATATTCTTAGGGTTCAGGGTTAAAGGAAACTACAGGTGGGGAGATTAGGGTACAAGGGCTTCTATAAGGTACATAGACATAGACCTTCTAAAAGGCTCCTCTAACGGTAACTACCCACCTGAAAATATCCTAGACAGGGATCGGGTTTCAGAGGTTCCTGTTTGGGGGTTGCGGATCGCAGGACCCGAGATGTGGGTTTCAGCCATACCTTCAAACCCCAAACCGGAGAGACTGCCAAGCACAAGGTGAATCGAAAACAGAGTTCAAGTAAGGAACCCAAGCCTACATGGGAGGCCACTTACAAACAAACCGACGCCAGAAAGGTTTTGCGGTTCCACAGTAGCCCCTTAATAACAAGGATACCCCTTTCCCTGCTATTCGGTTTTCACAGGGGAACCCAAAAAGACAAAGGGCACAAGGGTACTTCTGCGGAACCTAGAAACCCAAACCCTAAACCCCCAAACCCCCAAACTCCCAAACCCCCACACCCTAAACCCTAAACCCCCATACTGCCAAACCCCTAAGCCCTAAACCCCAAACCCCTAAGCCCTAATTCCCAAACCCGCAAACCCCCAAACCCTAAACCTTAAAACCCTAAACCCCCAAACCCTAAACCCAAACCCCTAAACCTCCATGTCACAGCTCGGAATCCCCTTTTCTCTGCCAGCGGTGTCCACACGGAGCCATTGCTCCAGTCGATGCGCCCGCACGCCGCGCGCCGTCCCAACTGTTTGTGCAGGCCTGCTCCGACAGTTTGGAGCTTTGGGTTTGGGACTTGAGAGTTCAAGTTTAGGGTCTAGGGTTTCGGGCGAAGGGTCTGAGTTCAAGCTGTGGGAGACCGAATGCCTAAACATCCAAGGCTTAGGGCATAATGTAGGGGCGTTAACAACTAGAATACGGTTTTGGGGTCCATGGTACTATAATTATAATAAGGAGCCTATAATAAGGAGCCCCCCAACATAGTATAGGTAGTTATTAAACCCTGAGCTGTAAACCCCTACATTAGGGTTTCAATGGTCTGTCTCCAGCGATCCGAGAAGCTCTGAGGACCGGAGGTCAGAGCCGTAACTCTTCGACTACGTTGAAACACATGGGATTTACGGTATAGGGGTTTAGGGGTTACCTTAAGAACCCCAAACCCACTTTCTTGTAGGTTCTGATTATAAACCCTAATATGGGATTGATAGGGACCCTACAAAAAAGAAGGTTTTGGGTTCTTAAGGTAGGGGCTTAAGTGGTTTAGTGGGTTGAGGGGTTTAGGGTTTAGGGGTCTAGGTGTCTCGGCTTGAGGGTGTAGTGTCCATTGTAGTTCCTCTTTGTGGGTACATTACAGGATCCTAACTGTAAAAGTGGTTAAACCAAAAACAGGAACTATAATGGAGACTATAGGTACTGTGATATGACATAAGAGCAGTATGGTGGTCCCATCTACCACATTTGTAACAAAGAGCATCCCCTAGGTTTCACTGATATGTTTAAAGTATGAAGCCTCCAAAAACCCTAGTCTAAGAAAAAATCAGGGGCCCACAATAAATTGAACCTCCGCGAAGAGTAACTTAGGGGCTGAGTGACCTAGCCCAAAAAAGGTTAACCAATTCAGCTATGGTAGGGTTATATAAGCCCCAAGGTTAAAGGTTACTTGCTCAGCTACGAGTGTAAAGACTGGATTGACAAGCCCCCCCCCAACTCCCGTGATCGCAAGGCGCTGACTGTGCTCATCCGGGAACTTCGGAAGGACGGAGTAGGGTCCAAATAAGGCAACTATAAGCACGTCGGTTTGCAGCCCAAACGTATAGCTACCCATACACCTTGAAACAGTGCATGGAAGCAAAGTGCATTGAACGACGAGGTAAGGACGGCGGCCGTGAAGGATCATCACCCTCTTGAATCCATCAACCCCCGACCCCCAACTATGCCTCGCATTTGATTTAGGACACCAGCCTAGAAACCTACAAACCGTCTGAAGCAGGTAGACTCGAATCTAGGCGCAGGATTACCCTCAAACTCCCTAAACCGTAAGCCCCTAAACCCCAAACCCTTCAAACACCCCTAAACCCTTAACCCCGAAACCCCAAATCCCCAAACCCTAAACCCAAAGCCATGGCATCTGGCCAAGGATTCATCAGCTCAGGGCCCCCGGCGGATTTGCCCGTTCTGACAGGCAGTGCCGGCCGGAGACTTCTGCGAGGACTTCGCCTTCATAAGACTTGTTTGATTAGGGTAGTTCTCTAAATTAGAGTCCCTTTTGGGGGTCCTTTTTATAAGGGTGCCGTACCATATTGGGGGCCTATAAAGGGACCATAATATAGAAAACTACCCATAATGGGGTGGATCAAAGTTTTTGCAAACCATAGCAGCTATGGAGACTCCTACCGTCTCTATTCCACCGTGGTTTGCTATGAGCACAAGTAGCAAAACTGCCCAGGCCACTTACCTACTCAAGCAAGCGTCAGAATCATGGTCTGTTTGGGAAACCCACCCTACATAGTTCTACTCTTGATACGGCACTCTCTAGTTTGAGAAGCCAGAAGAGACCCTGCTTTGGACAACAACCCGAAACCGTAAACCCTAAACCCTAATGCCTTAAGCCCACACCCTAAACCCACATACTCAGAGGAAGCGCCATGGCCCGAAATGCTCAAACCCTTGTAGAAAGCAAACTGTTGTGGCCTGGGGTTTAGGGCTCAGGGTTTAGAGCTTCAGGGGTCTAGGGTTTAGGCTTCGGAGTTCAGGTTTACTCTTTAGGCGTCGTGCGTTTAAGGCTTCAGATGATATTTCGTGTTTGGGGCTGAGGGTGTTGCCGAGCCCGACACAATCACGAACATGTAGGATGGTTTGGCGCTCGCTTAGAGGTTCCAGAATGCAGAATGCATAAACAGCTGAACTCGAAACTGAGAAACATAACTAGTAGCAGGACTGAAAAGACAGCAGTTAATGGTAGTTACCGAAAATCATAAGGCAGGGCAAATCGCAAAGCATCTCCGGCACAGTTAGTATGACAAACAAAGCCAAGAACAAAACACATGGTTAAACTAGCACGCAAAAAAACAACCAACACCATTACACCTTACACCCTAGATCGATGGATGTTTCTTCCTTGCTGCCGAGCCTGGGAATTTTGGAGGACCACCTGCAGCAGAAAAGGCTGAAGGATTTGCATTCCGGGGTTTGGGATGTAGGGCTGATACTGCTGGTACTAACACTTGGTGCTAGTCCTACAAGTGCTACTGCTGCTGCTATTGCTACCACCAAAATATCAAATACAAATCCTCCACCTCCCCCTCCTCCTCCGACTACTACGACTACGACTACTGCTAGGACGACGACGACGACTGCGACTACTACTACTGCTCCTGCTCCTGCTCCTACTCCTTCTGTTACCACTGCAGCTGCTGCTGGAGTTCGGTGACGATGACGACGACTACACTGCTATGGCGACGGCGACGACGACCACGGTCACCACGGTGGATGATATAAATTCAAACCCTGCATTACCCTAGGGACCCTAAACTATGGGAAGTATGGTAGATACCTGATTATGGGTAATGAGGGATTTATATCACCATTACTACAACCACCGCTGCCGGGGCGAGTTTATCAAACATCCGGCCAAGGCTTTCTGCCGGCCACGGCCCCCTTGGCTCCGATGGTTTAGGTTTAGGGATAAACCCTAAACCCTAAACCCTGTTCACCGATATCTCCATCCTAAACCAAGAGTTGCAATGACTACTGGGCACCCCTAACTCCTCGGCAACAGACGCTTTTGTTTTGGGTCTTGAAGCCAGGACTTTGAGGGTTTGGGGTTTAGGGGTTTAGGGTTTAGGGTTTAGGGGTTTAGGGGTTTAGGGGTTTAGGGTTTACGGGTTTAGGGTTGAGGGTATAGTCTCCATTGTAGTTCCTTTTGCGGTTACCTTATAGGATCCCAACTATAAAAGTGGTTAAGCTCAAAGAAGAAACTACAGGGTTCTTTGAGTTTAGGGACTTAAGATTTTGGGGCTTGGGGTTAGGAGATGTTATGCTCAAGGGTGTTGTGATGCCATATGGAAGTTATGGTTTGATGCAGGATATAACCCTAAACCCTAAACCCTAAACACTAAAACTCTAAACCGTGATGATTCAGATTTTCTTACATCAGGCTTTCGGCTTTCGAGTTTTTGGGTGCTCGAGCTCCGGCATCGGCTTAGGCTTTCGGGAGATCTGTCAGCTATCGGGCACATAGGGACCACATCAAGCTAAACCCTAAAACCCTAAATTCTAAACCCTAAACCCTAAACCCCTAAACCCCTAAACCCTAAACCCTAAACCGACCGATGACATGCAGCGAAATCCTCCTAACCTCAACTGTGAACCCTTATCAATCGGGACGGCCTCGTCGGCTTCCACTGTGACATGGACAATTCCACCACGGGAATGGCTGTAGCCTGCAGAAAAAAGAGTCTCAAATAAATCTTAACCCTAAACCCTGAACCC